GGGTTTTTTCTTGTATTTGTGCCGAGCTCACGGCAGTTTGAGACACTTCATTGGAGAGGAAACATTAGGGCGATGAGATGAGATGACAGTTTTGATAGGTCGTTCCTTGCTAGAGGATGAGGATCGGTGTTGGTTGTCGAGTATTGGATTACAGAGGAGTTTTGGAGCTTCGACATATTTGGCTCATCTTAGTGATAGGTTGCCGATTACTACATTTAGAGTTTTTGGATTTGGTGGAGCTGCTTCAGATTTTAGGTTACGACAGATGTTTAGTTGCCCAGCATTTGGTCACATCGAGGATGTGAGATTTGATCCGATTGCACTTTTGGAATTCAGAGGCTCGTTTGGTTATTAGTTAGGAGACTCTGATTTTGTTCTGAGCAGGTATGTCACATTTGACTCTCGACAGGTGGAGAGTGTTGATCAGATTGTTGGGATATCGCAGCGGGTAGAGTGTGATGCTACTCCACATTAGGTGGAGATTACTCCACATACTCCAGATCATACTACATCGTTTGGAATTCCAGCTGAGGTGATATAGTTTGGGGATCATTTGGATTTGGATGCAGATGATGAGTTGGTTGATTCGAGTGCAGCTGGTGGACATAGTTTCGATTTGGATATGGTCGTTGGTTCATCTCAGTTGGAGGTGTTTGGTTTGTTTCACTTTAGGCATTAGGAGAGCTATCATCCGCAGATTTGTTAGTGAAGAGTTGAGAACTCTTCTATTAGATTGAGGGTCTTTGGAGGCTATTGGGTGAACTACGTGAATGCTTGATTCCTTGGGCAAGAGGATACATAGGCAGTCATTTATGATGCAGTCGGTTTGGTGAGTTGATATCGATGTTTGGAGAGTGATCACATTCTCATTTGGGTCTCGACTTGTTGTGGATTGAGTCCGTTATCGTGGTTTTGTTCCACTTCGTACTGGACGCGACGCAATAAGTGAGACATTTATTTTGGTTGGTGTCGGCTTAGTTTTGGAAGAAACTTCACCGAGGTGGAGAATTGTAAAAATGGTGAACACAACGATGAAAATCGCAAGAAAAAACGAAGAACAAGTTTTGGGTGCCTAGCGGTCGACCACGAGTGGCGCGGCGGTTAACCGCAAACATGCATGAAACAGGGAGAAGTCTCTGGACTTTTCACGGTCAACCGCGTCGACTGGCACGACGGTCGACCTCAAGACCCTGTAGGATTATTTTGGGTTCTGACGTTTTTCGTGGTCGACCGCGATAGGTTCGGCGGTCGACCGTGAGTCGGGTCAGGCCCAGTTTGGGTTTTCCTATTCTGTTTGGGTTTTTATTTTGAAATAAATAGGAACACGATTTTGAGGGTTTTGTAGGCTTATTGTGGGGATATTTGGAGCACAGAAAAGAGGTATTTTCTGAGCTATTAGTTAGAGTTTTGTTTGGAGAGAATTAAAGATTTGTTGATGAGATTAGTTGGTTGATTTGAGTGATTTGTAATCTCAGTTTGTACTCTTCTTCTCTATTAATGAAAAACCCACCCCCTTCTTACCCCGTGGACGTAGGCAATTTGCCGAACCACGTTAAAATTGGTTATTTGTGTTTTGTGCTGTTATTTTGATTTGGTTGGCCTTTATATTGAAGTTTGTTATTGATTTCTTGAAGCACATCGGTTTGGTTTTGGCTTCTGCCGCGCACAACATTACCAAGAAAAACAAAACTAATATCAGTTTAAAACGAACTAACCCCAAGCTACGTATGTTATTTAGCTTAATAAATGATAATGATTTTCTACAAAAACAAAAGTAATTAAAAAGGTTAGATAAAATAAAGTGCGATAAATTTTTATAATCATGAAATATATATTTATGTATTTTGAAGATATAAATACTATTTATGTATTTTAAACTTACTATTATTGATTGATAATTGCTTACAAGAATATTCTTTACTATTAAATAACTTTTGGTTAGACTAAGATATTGACAATTATTATTTCTTTACTATTAAATAACTTTTGGTTAGACTAAGATATTGACAATTATTATTATAATGATTTTCTAATGATGGTGATAACCATAATAAGAAAGAAGTAAAGAAAGAAAAAGAAATATGAAAAATAAATACGAGTTCTAGTTTTTTATCACCTAGTTCTAAGCTAAAACTTGGAATAATTTGAGAGACTAAAACTCTCATTTTTTATAGAAAAATAAAAAAGGTGAGATAATTTTGTACCATTATCCCAGTTCTAGTTTTGTTAGAGTTCTACTTGACTAACACTGTAAAATTTTGGATAATTTTGTACCATTATCCCAGTTCTAGTTTTGTTAGAGTTCTACTTGACTAACACTGTAAAATTTTGTTCTAGTTTTAGTTCTATGTGACTAACACCTTAAAAATTTATCTCACAGATTATCTCAGTTTCAATTTTAAGTTCTAAGTGACTAACCCCCCAAGAGCGTTAAGAAAAGCGAGAGAATCACGAGTACCAACATGAAGCAAACAAATTCAAGATGTACAGATACAATCTTATAATTACATCACCATTTCATTTACATGTACAACCACATATCTTATCTGTTTACATTATTCCTTATTTGATATTTCTTACCATACTCATTAAACAAAAACTAAAAAATAAGAATAATTAAAAATAAAATAAATAAAACTCTTTTAGACACCATACAGCCAGCGGAATATTACAACGGAGGGAAACAACAAGAAATCCCCAGTCGTCTACCTATACAGAATTTCCCAAGAGAAAAATACGATGGATCAAGGAGATTTCTGCTGAACAAAATAGATAATTTACCCTAAAAGAAACGGGAGCATGAGGATTCGTTATTTCTTTAGGGGCTGTTTGGTTCGTTTCCTAGATATAGGGAAATGTATTTTCATATACAAAAACACAAGTTTTGAGTTTTCTAAACTTTTCCAAGAAATAGATTGTTTCGCTTTGGTTCGCACAAAAAAATAGTGGGAAACCAATGTATTTATTTTTCTTGTGTTTGGTTCGCATGGAAAAAAAAGGGAAAACATTTGTTTATATGGCAAAAAGCCGACGTGGCTGCAGTTTTCGTCGATTTCACAAGGTTGATGAAGGAATTGGGGGAGAGAAAAAAATATGATGTGACGGCGATTTTTACCGAGTTTCCCTTCTTCAACCCTAACAAACCAAATATGGGAAAAAAACCGACGGAAAGCTTATATCCTATGTGGCCACGAAAAATCTGATGTGGAGGCGTTGTAAAACTTTTCCACTGAGTTAAAAAATGAACCAAACAGTCCCTTAGGAGAAAACACAGCAAAATGACCACATACATCTTATGCTCTTTATAGGATGACTAGGAGGGTGTTTGGTTCAATTTATACAAATTATAGGAAATGTTTTCCACCCAAAATATGATTTCCTTGTATTTCTTTAAAAAAATTATATGAAAAATTTTAAGAAGTTAAAAAGTAGCATTTTTTTTGTTTTTTTTACTTTGCTTGTTTGGTTCAAAACAAGAAAATTGTTCATAACTTTATAGAAAATAGCAAGATTTCCTATAATTTGTAGAAATTAAACCAAACACCCCCTAAATTTATAGAAAAGTGTCAACTTTATTAAAAAATGTCAATGTGGTGTCAGATTTCTGGGTGATTTTCGCTCATTTTGAGAGAAAATTGATTTTTGTAAATTTTGGTACTTTTTTGAACTTTACAGAAAACATTTCTGTAATTTTTTTTGAACCAAAAACAGTTTACAGAAATCTACAAAAAAAGATTTAATTACAGAATTATCATTGTTAGACATTTTGCGAAAACTTTTTTATAAAATTGTGCAACCAAACACCCACTAAAGAATTAGCTTTTCAGTTGAACCCTTCACGTGCTCGCGAGGTGCTTCGGCTCTGAGCAGTATAAGATTGCTGGGTAATCACAGCCCTTGGTAGAGAACAATGGACGGGCGCGATTCATGGATAATCTGAAGCTAACGTACGGTCGTATCCACTTTAGGGAGCTAATCACAGCCGTTCACTTATCAAGAGGTGTGAATCACATTGATACCCAACCTGGACAAAAAAAATCGATTTTGTAATTCACATCGGCACCTGACGCGCTAACATTTTCGTGTAATATTGCAAGTTGTTTATACGTTTAGGATCGTAATATTCTTTCACATATTTTCGCATTTATTATCTGTCAAAATATACTGGAAAGATTTCTGCACATTCCTAGTTCATCCCATTTTTTACAGCATCCCATTTATATCATACGTTCGGAAGTTTACAAACTATGACGCTCACTTGGGTAAATATATTGCAGCAATTAATTTTAAATTTATCACTTGGGTAAATATATTGCAAAATGTAATATTCGACCGACTACAAGTGTAATACCCCAACATTTGAGAGGGTGATGTAATTAGTATTGATAGATTTGATTGGAATACTCATATTCCATACCACCAAGATATATCTTCTTTTTGGGAACCCAACTCTTAGAAACTCCAAAGTTAAGCGTGCTTGGCCTGGAGAAATTCTAGGATGGGTGATCCTCTGAGAAGTTTTCAGCAGCCATTCGATCCTGGACCATCTCATGAAGCGTGCCTCCATCAAAAATTAAAAATATTTTTTTTTTGAAGGTGATAGCGTAAGATATAATATACATTTTGTTGTCCTAAATCAACAAGCTTAATTGGCGATGCAAGCACTTTGCAGCACTGAATGCAACAAGGCCTAGGGCTTGTTTTAGAAAATGTAAATGTAATTACCTTTATCTGACAAATTTATTGTGCAACCGAACAATGAATACTGCAACTACATTTCCTGACAACCAAAAACAACCCTCAGAATTCCTTCCTCCTCCATAAATATCCGCAACACCTATCCAACAAACAAGAATGCAGCAGAGCACAAAAACAAGCAAAATTAACCACAATACATAGATATATACAACCACCAACCAGGACTGTTTAACAAACAAACGTCTAGCAAGGTGAAAACATTCACTCGTAACCTGCAGAGTTCATA